ATGGTTAGGACTTGGGATTATTATTATTTATATATTTATTTCAGGTACTTATATATCGCCATCAATTTACGCAGCGCTTTACATATATATTGTACATTCACATCAGTCCCTAACCCTCAAGGGGTGTACAATCTAAGGTCCCTAACTCACATCCATACATACACATACTAGGGACAATATACCTACCAACATGTCTTTGGAGGGTGGGAGGAAACCAGAGCACCTAGAGTAAACCCACACAGGCACAGGGAGAACATACAAACTCCAGGCAGGTGGTGCTGTGGTTGGGATTCAAACCAACGACCCGAGTTCTGCCAGGCGGAAGTGCTAACCATTTAGCCACTGTGCTGCTTTTATTCTTCCTCTTCTTCTTATTATTATTAATATTTTTTATTTTTATTTATTTCAGGTACTTATATAGCGCCATCAATTTATGCCGCGCTTTACATATATATTGTACATTCACATCAGTCCCCGCCCCCGAGGAGCGTACAATCTAAGGTCCCTAACCCTCAAGGGGCGAACAATCTTAGTCCCTAACCCTCAAGGGGGGTACAATCTAAGGTCCCTAACCCTCAAGGGGCATAAAATCTAAGGTCCCTAACTCAAATTCATACATACACATACTAGAGACAATTTAATTACCAACATGTCTTTGGAGCGTGGGAGGAAACTGGAGTACCTGGGGGAAACCCACGCAGGCACAGGGAGAACATGCAAAACTCCAGGCAGGTGGTGCCGTGGTTAGGACTCGAACCAACAACCCTGGTGCTTTAGCCACTGTTCTGCCCTGCCCTGTATTTTCTTGATTGAGACATTTCAGGAAAATGCCACATTGAGCCCAGTAGATGGAGCTGATGATCCTAGGAAACTTGGAAGTTTTTTTGACAGCTGTGAGAATGACACCTTCGCATAGCGATTTTGTTTGTAAGTCGACCCCATGTGAATATTGGTTTGTAGCAGAAGGGGAAAGGACCTTAACCTCCCTGGCGGTATTCCCGAGTGTAGCTCGGGGTAAAGTTTCAGCACCACAAGCGGTAACCCCGAGCTACACTCGGGAATACACTGCAGCGTTGCTCCGGGATCTCTTCACTTACCTTGTCCTGCGCTCCCGCGATGTCCCCCCTGCAGTGTCCCCGGCAATGTCCTCCGGCCGATGCCGGCATCTGTCTTCCGGGTTCCGGTCCCTGTGACGTCGGGACGTACGGGGGACGGAACGGCGAGAAATTTGAAAATTTTAAAAAGCGACATTCACTAAATACACTAAAATCACATAGTATAACATTCCTGTATCAAACCATTTCACATACATTTTGTCCCGAGTGCTTTGTCCGGCGCCCTGCCTGCGTTTTTACTGTTCTTTCTGCCTGGAAACTGAGAAACGTCCATGGCGTCCAAAAAGCGTCCTTTTAGGTCAAAAGCGGTTTTAGACCGGCTAGAGAACAGCGATAGTAAATCAGAACCACTTGCAGAATTGAGTGATAATGATTGGTGGGGGAAATTCCTCATCAGACACTGAAAACGATTCTGCGACTGAGCTCAGCGATGTGCGAACTTGGCGCTCTATTTCAAATTTCAGTGTTTTTGGTTTTTGATTATATTATTGAATTAAATTTATTATTATTATATTATTATTTTTTATTATATTTTATGATTATTTATTATATTATAATTTATGATTTCGTGTTTCAAGTTTTATCATCCCCGGGGTGTTTCCTAGACTCTTGTTCGGACAGATTTCAGTGAGTTATTCCTAAAGGTTACAGGCCTACAATAAATAAAATACATATTTCCATGCCAAAAAATGTACCGCTTTGAGCACAGAAATATGGACATATCAGACCGCTAGGGAGGCTACAACACCAAGCCAGCCTTGCCGGACTATTCCACACTTAGCCGAGAATAGGAAGAATTGCTGGAAACAAAATATTGTTCATTCTCCATCTGCTCTCCGTGTCTGGAGGGGAGTCCTCCTGGTTGGGGAGTCTAGTAACAGCCCGGGGAATGTTGGAATGTGAGTTGGCCATGTCTCCATCCTCTCCATCACTCCACAGGATGATTTTTGGAAGTCCTGACCCCGCCCAGTAGCGGGGAACCACGCTTATCATGTGTATGGAATGGGGACCCCCCCCTTCCTGTGTGGATTGGGTTTCCAGACATTCGTCGAGTCGATGGTATCCAGCCAGGCGTGTGGGTAGCTGTAGCCCCGTCCTTCTTGTAGATGGAGTCTGGGAGGGCGGCCATGGAGCAGATACACGGAGGGCGGCCATGGAGCAGATACACGCAGCGCCTTCCCTGCTTCACACCAGCCGCTCCGATGACACCATTCTCCTAATTAGAAGCATGGAGGAGAGCGATGATTTCATATCTCACATCCCAGACTGGAATCTATCAATGTGGAGGTCTGGGAAGGATCTGGTGTGTCCAGGTCATGGTGGAGATACTTGGAATTTGTCACATTCAGCTGGGTGGATGAGGAGGTTCCAGCGGCCATCCTAGTGTCCGCACTGCTCAACAGTTCTAGGAACTCACCTTTTAAGCCACATCTTCTTTTTTATTTTTATTTATTACAGGTACTTATAGTACTGCCAGGTGGAAGTGCTTATTTTTATTAATAATAATAATAATAATAATAATAATAACAATAATAGCAATAATAAATAATAACAATAATAATAATAGTAATAATAACAATAATAATAGTAATAATAATAATAACAATAATAGCAATAGTAATAATAATAATAATAATAGTAATAATAACAATAATAATGGTAATAATAATAATAACAATAATAATAATAACAATAATAGCAATAATAATAGTAATAATAATAATAATAACAACAATAATAGTAATAATAATAATAATACCAATAATAATAGTAATAATAATAACAATAATAATAACAACAATAATAGTAATAATAATAATAACAATAATAATGATAACAATAATAGTAATAATAATAATAACAATAATAATGATAACAATAATAGCAATAATAATAATAATAACAATAATAATAATAGCAATAATAATAATAATAGTAATAATAACAATAATAGCAATAATAATAATAACAATAATAATAACAATAATAGCAATAATAATAATAACAATAATATTAATAATAATAAAAATAATAGCAATAATAATAATAATAATAATAATTCATGTTAATACTAATAACAAAAGCTGAGAATTAAACAATTAGAAAATTATTTTAGAAAAGACACTAACATGGTCGTAATTATATGACAATTTAATAATAACAATAAACAATAATTATAATAATTATAAAATAGAATGCTATTAATAATAAAAACTGTAAATAATGCGAATAATAATAATAATAGTAATTCTAATAATAAAAAAAGCCACCAATTAAAATGATTAGTAATTATTTTAAAGAGACATTAACATGGAAAAATTATAGAATTGCTAATAATAACTAAAAAAAATTATATTAATAATAATTAATATAAAAAACAATGCTTGTAATGCTAACAACAGTAAATAATGCTAATAATAATAATTAATACCACCAATTAAAATGATTAGAAATTATTTTAAAAGAGACATTAACATGGAAAAAAATATGAGAATTTAATGACAATAAAAAATGCTAGTAATAATTATAAAAAAACAATGCTTTTAATGCTAACAACAGTAAATAATGCTAATAATAGTAATTCTAATAATATTTAATACCATCAATTAAAATGATTAGAAATTATTTTGAAAGAGACATTAACATGAAAAAATTATATGAGAATTTAATAATGACAATAAAAAATGTTAATAATAATTATAAATAACAATGCTTTTAATGCTGACAATAGTAAACAATGCTAATAATAATAATAATTCTAATAATAATTAATACTGCCAATTAAAATGATTAGAAATCATTTTAGAAAAGATATTAACAAGGTAAAAATTCTGCGAATTTAATACGAACAATAAAAAAATGCTAATAATAATAATTATTAAAAAAATGGTTTTAATGCTAACAACAGTAAATAATGCTAATAATAATAATAAACATAATAATAATAATTCTAATAAGAATTAATACTGCCAATTACAATGATTAGAAATTATTTTGAAAGAGACATTAAAATGGAAAATGATATGAGAATTTAAAAATGACAATAAAAAATGCTAATAATAATAATTATAAAAAACAATGCTTTTAATGCTAACAACAGTAAATAATGCTAATAATAGTAATAATTCTAATAATAATTAAAACCGCATATTAAAATGATTAAAAATTATTTTAGAAAAGACATTAACATGGTAAAAATTCTGTGAATTTAATAAGAACAATAAATAATGCTAATAATAATAATTCTAAAACTTAATGCTGTTATTAATATTAACAACAGTAAATAATAATAATAATAATAATAAAAGCCGCCAATTAAAATGATTAGAAATTATTTGGAAAGAGACATTAACATTGTAAAAAGTATACGAGAATTTAATAATAATAAATAATGCTAATAATAACAACAGTAAAAAATAAACATAATTAAAACAAGTCGTCACTTAAAATGATTAGAAATTAGTTTGAAAGAAACAATGATAAAATTTATAAGAATTAAGTAAGGCAGCAGGTGGTCAGCACAACACGATGAAAAAAGGAGGGAAAAAAAATGTAAAACTCTATTTCATGAGAAAAAGTGGCAGTTATTTGACCCCCAACCCAAGGTGTCCCTTACTGTTAAATACATTCTAATGTTGGCCATAAACATCTCTACATGTGAAGGTGGATTTGATATTTTACCAAATTGCATTGAAGTTCACGTTTGGTCGGTTAGAAATGTGACTGTCCTCCCCCCCCCCCCCCCCCCCAGACAGACACGCAGCGCCATATCTATTCCAGACCTTCTCAGGGTTGGCCTTCTCAAGGTCGGAATTCTGGGTTCTTCCTCCGGTTGGATCACAGTCATCCCACCAGACTGACAAGTCTTGTGTTGTTCTTCTCTAGGAAATGGGAAGGAGGTGACCCTGGGGTGGCTAACCAGAAAACACCCACCAGCCTGCTCCTGACCCCGGAGAAGACCTTCCACAGCTTCGGCTTTACGGCGAGAGACTTCTACCATGACCTGGACCCCGAGGAGGCCCGAGACTGGCTATACTTTGAGAAGTTCAAGATGAAGATCCACAGCACCACTGTAAGAGCCGACCCTGCGGTGGAGGGTGGAATGGATGGGGGGTGGGCTGACCGAACATCAAAAAATAGGAGGATTGACCACTCACTCCCACCGTGGTTCTTGTCTCTCAGGGGGCATGTTGTAGATTTGGAGGTTTCTGTCCACCTTGGGGTGCTCCTACTCTTCCTGTGGAATCCTGATTTACCCTCGGAGGGTGGCAGTGGGCCCCCTTCAATGAGGGATTTGGGTTTAAATGCTGCATCGGGTCATGATATGGTGAGGGGGGATTTGCAACCCATGACTCCCAGCATCATTAAATCTGGATGCCTGTTGAATCTCACCGGGTGACTTGCCCGACCCTTGGCCCAAGAGTCAAATGTGGCCATTTGGAATGCTCTGTGTGGCCCTCAGAGCTCCTGAAGATGGTAGACTGTGTTTACCAATTATTATGTAATAGCAATTATTTCCAACAGTCTATGTGTCCTGAAGCATGTCCCCAGTGTTCAACAATTTCTATAGCATGTCTACAGTCTCTGACCACCTTTGGTCATGACCCCATAGTCTCCAACCATCTCTTGTTGCATGCCTGCAGTCTCTGACCACCTCTGGTCATGACTTCATAGTCTCCAACCATCTCTTGTTGCATGCCTGCAGTCTCTGACCACCTCTTGTCATGACCCCATAGTCTCCAACCATCTCTTGTTGCATGCCTGCAGTCTCTGACCACCTCTTGTAGCTAGCCCATAGTTATTGAACATCTCATGTTGCATGTGTGCAGTCTCTGACCACCTTTTGTAATTAGCCAATAGTCTTTAAACATTTCATGTTGTTTTTTTGCAGTCTCTGCCTATCTCTTGTCAAAAGCCCCTAGTCTCTGATCATCTAATGTTACATGTTTGCAGTCTCTGATCATCTCCTGTTACATGTTTGCAGTCTCTGACCATCTGCTATTACATGTCTGCAGTCTCTGATCATCTCCTGTTACATGTTTTCAGTCTCTGATCATCTCCTGTTACATGTTTGCAGTCTCTGACCATCTACTGTTACATGTTTGCAGTCTCTGACCATCTCCTGTTACATGTCTGCAGTCTCTGACCATCTGCTATTACATGTCTGCAGTCTCTGACCATCTCCTGTTACTTGTGTGCAGTCTTTGACTATCTACTATTACATGTCTGCAGTCTCTGACCATCTCCTGTTACATGTTTGCAGTCTCTGACCATCTCCTGTTACATGTTTGCAGTCTCTGACCATCTCCTGATACATGTCTGCGGTTTCTGGTCATCTGCTATTAAATGTCTGCAGTTTCTGACCATCTCCTGTTACATGTCCTCAGTCTCTGACCATCTCTTGTTACATGTCCTCAGTCTCTGACCATCTCTTGTTACATGTCCTCAGTCTCTGACCATTTCCTGTTACATGCCTGCAGTCCCTGACCATCTCTTGTCGCAAGTCCATAGTCTCTGACCATCTCCTGTTGCATGCCAGCAGTCTATTACCATCTCTTGTAGCTAGCCCATAGTCTTTGAACATCTCACGTTGCTTGTGTGTGTAGCCTCTGGGCCATCTTTCATAGCAAGCGCATAGTCTTTGACCATCTCCTGCTGCATGTGTGCAGTCTCAGACCATCTCTTTTAACTAGCCCATAGCCTTTGACCATCTCATGTTGCTTGTCTGCAATCTCTGACCATCACACGGCTGTAGTCTCCGACCATCTTGTGTGTCTGCTATCTCTGACCATCACACGGCTGTAGTCTCTGACCATCTTGTGTTGTATGTCTGCAGTCTCTGACCATCACACGGCCGTAGTCTCTGACCATCTTGTGTTGTATGTCTGCAGTCTCTGACCATCACACGGCCGCAGTCTCTGACCATCACACGGCCACAGTCTCTGACCATCTTGTGTTGTATGTCTGCAGTCTCTGACCATCACACGGCCGTTGTCTCTGACCATCTTGTGTTGTATGTCTGCAGTCTCTGACCATCACACGGCCATAGTCTCTGACCATTTTGTGTTGTATGTCTGCAGTCTCTGACCATCACACGACCGTGGTCTCTGACCATCTTGTGTTGTATGTCTACAGTCTCTGACCACCACACGGCCGTGGTCTCTGACCATCTTGTGTTGTATGTCTACAGTCTCTGACCATCACACGGCCGTAGTCTCTGACCATCTTGTGTTGTATGCCTGCAGTCTCTGACCATCACTCGGCCGCAGTCTCTGACCATCTCCTGTTTTGTATGCCTGCAGTCTCTGACCATCACACGGCCACAGTCTCTGACCATCTTGTGTTGTATGTCTGCAGTCTCTAAACATCACACGTCTGTAGTCTCTGACCATCTTGTGTTGTATGTCTGCAGTCTCTGACCATCACACGTCTGTAGTCTCTGACCATCTCGTGTTGTATGCCTGCAGTCTCTGACCATCACAAGGCTGTAGTCTCTGACCATCTTGTGTTGTGTGCCTGCAGTCTCTGACCATCACACGGCTGTAGTCTCTGACCATCTTGTGTTGTATGTCTGCAGTCTCTGACCATCACAAGGCTGTAGTCTCTGACCATCTTGTGTGGTGTGCCTGCAGTCTCTGACCATCACACGGCTGTAGTCTCTGACCATTTTGTGTTGTATGTCTGCAGTCTCTGACCATCACAAGGCTGTAGTCTCTGACCATCTTGTGTGGTGTGCCTGCAGTCTCTGACCATCACACGGCTGTAGTCTCTGACCATCTTGTGTTGTATGTCTGCAGTCTCTGACCATCACACGGCCACAGTCTCTGACCATCTTCTGTTGTATGTCTGCAGTCTCTGAAAGCTTTCTGTGGTAATACATTCAATGAATATTAGATGTGGCCCTTTGGCGATGTCAGGGGCCACACTTGAGGCTCCTTTATCAAGGAAGATGCAGCCTCCTCCTGTAGTAATGCAGGTTGCCTCCCGCAGGACCTGACCATGAAGACGGAGCTGGAGGCTGTGAACGGGAAGAAGGTGCAGGCGTTGGAGGTCTTCGCACACGCCCTGAGGTTCTTCAAGGAGCACGCCGTCCAGGTGAGGGCCCCGCACATACCAGAGGGGATTGCATGTCATTTGGCCCTTGCAGATATCTTCTACGTGTCTCTGTTTTAGGAATTGCAGGATCAGTGCCCCTCCCTGGATGAGAAGGAGGCCATTCGATGGGTCATCACCGTCCCTGCCATCTGGAAGCAGCCAGCCAAGCAGTTCATGAGGGAAGCCGCCTACCTGGTAAAACTTCAGTGCTAGGAAAGAATGTGACTTCTGAGGGGTGTCCCAACATCCCTGTATATATGTCACTGCTCTGCTCAGAGCAGGGGCGGACTGACCATTTGGGAACGCAGGCACTGCCCGAGGGCCCGGGATCAGTAGGGGGCCCCATGAGATGCCCCTGGTACCTTTCATAGGCTTTTTTGGGTGTGGTTTGAGTGTGGGGGCGAGGACACAGGGCCCCCATGATCCCCTATTGCCCAGGTGCCCCATGAGTAGTCAGTCCGCCCCTGGCTCAGAGCTTCAAGTTTAATGTCAGGCATCCTCTGCAATAGGAGTTTCCTTTGTATTTGATTTCATGTTGTAAAAGTCATCCATGGTTTAGAACAGTGACCTCCAAACTGTGGCCCAGGGGACAGATGTGGCTCTTTGCATGCCTTTATCTAGCCTTTAGGGCACTATTCCTCCCATTGACACCAAAAAATGGGGGCAATAATTCCTTCCACTGACACCAACGATGTTGTACTAATCTTCCCACTGACACCAATGATGGGGCACTATTCCTCCCACTGATACCAATGATGGGGCACTATTCCTCCCACTGATACCAATGATGGGGCACTATTCCTCCCACTGATACCAATGACGGGGCACTATTCCTCCCACTGACACCAATGAAGGGACACTATTCCTCCCACTGACACCAATGACGGGGCACTATTCCTCCCACTGACACCAATGACGGGGCACTATTCCTCCCACTGATACCAATGATGGGGCACTATTGCTCCCACTGATACCAATGATGGGGCACTATTCCTCCCACTGACACCAATGATGGGGCACTATTCCTCCCACTGACACCAATGATGAGGCACTATTCTTCCCACTGACACCAATGATGGGGCACTATTCCTCCCACTGATACCAATGATGGGGCACTATTCCTCCCACTGACACCAATGATGGGGCACTATTCCTCCCACTGATACCAATGACGGGGCACTATTCCTCCCACTGACACCAATGATGGGGCACTATTCCTCTCACTGACGCCCTGTGATGGGGCACTATTCCTCCCACTGATACCAATGACGGGGCACTATTCCTCCCACTGACACCAATGATGGGGCACTATTCCTCTCACTGACGCCCTGTGATGGGGCACTATTCCTCCCACTGATACCAATGATGGGACACTATTCCTCCCACTAACACCAAAAATGGGGCAATAATTCCTACACTGACGCCAACAATGGGGTATTAATCTTCCCACTGACACCAATGATGGGGCACTATTCCTCCCACTGACACCAATGATGGGGCACTATACCTCCCACTGACACCAATGATGGGGCATTATTCCTCCCACTGATACCAATGACAGGCACTATTCCTCTCACTGACACCAATGATGGGGCACTATTCCTCCCACTGATACCAATGACGGGGCACTATTCCTCTCACTGACACCCCGTGAAGGGACACTATTCCTCCCACTGACTCCAATGACGGGGCACTATTCCTCCCACTGACACCAATGACGGGGCACTATTCCTCCCACTGACACCAATGATGGGGCACTATTCCTCCCACTGACACCAATGATGGGGCACTATTCCTCTCACTGACACCCCGTGAAGGGACACTATTCCTCCCACTGACTCCAATGATGGGGCACTATTCCTCCCACTGATACTAATGATGGGGCACTATACCCCCCACTGACACCAATGATGGGGCACTATTCCTCCCTCTATCACCAACAATGAGGCATTATTCATCCCACTGACACCAACGATGGGGCATTATTACTACAGCTAACACCAACGATGGGGCATGTTTACTCCCACTGATGCCAAAACACTTCTACTCCCACTGGTATACCTTCTCTTGGGTGCTCCACCATACCCACTCTTTTCTGCTTGCTCCCAACAAGGACCACAGCTGGACCCCCCAACACTGTGTGAGCCAACACACAGAGACAAGCCTGAAGCCATGGTCATCAAGCCACTCCTCTGCTCCTCCTCCAAGGAAGCTGATTGACAGCACCTCTTGAGGCTCTGTGAGCTCTATTTAAAAAGTGAAGGCAAAAAAATATCCCAGTCGCCACACACAATGCAAGCCCGTCCGTCACATAGATAATAGCAGCCTCAGCCTAGCTCTGTCCAAGCCACTCCCCGACGCATTTCATCCCACCCATGGGGCTTAGTCATGGAGGACCTCCTTTGTGACAGATGGGCTTGCAAGGTGTGCAGCGACTGGGATATTTCCTTTCTCTTCACAGACTGCATGGAGTCAGGACGGGTCTATTTATAAAGTCAGGGCAAAGGAAACATCACAGTCACCACACCATGCAAGCCCGTCCGTCACATAGATAATAGTAGAATTCAGCTTAGCTCTTTCCAAGCCACTACCCAACGCGTTTCGTCCCACCCATGAGGTTTATTCATTGAGGATCTCCTTTGTGACAGATGGGCTTGCATGGTGTGCAGCAACTGGGATATTTCCTTTGTCTTCACAGACTGCATGGAGTCAGGACAGGTCTATTCATAAAGTGAGGGCAAAAAAAATATCACAGTCCCGTCCACCACATAGTTAATAGTAGAATTCAGCCTAGCTCTGTCCAAGCCACTCCCTGACATGTTTCGTCCCACCCATGAGGTTTATTCATTGAGGATCTCCTTTGTGACAGGTGGGCTTGCATGGTGTGCAGCAACTGGGATATTTCCTTTGTCTTCACAGACTGCATGGAGTCAGGACGGGTCTATTCATAAAGTGAGGGCAAAGAAAATATCACAGTCCCGTCCACCACATAGATAATAGTAGAATCCAGCCTAGCTCTGTCCAAGCCACTCCCCGACGCGTTTCATCCCACCCATGAGGTTTAGCAGCAACTGGGATATTTCCTTTGCCTTCACAGACTGTATGGAGTCAGGACGGGTCTATTTATAAAGTGAAGGCAAAGGAAATATCACAAGCCCGTTCGCCACATAGATAATAGTAGAATTCAGCCTAGCTCTGTCCAAGCCACTCCCCGACGCGTTTCGTCCCACCCATAAAGTTTATTCATGGAGGACCTCCTTTGTGACAGATGGGCTTGCATGGTGTGCAGCAACTGGGATATTTCCTTTGCCTTCACAGACTGCATGGAGTCAGGACGGGTCTATTCATAAAGTGAGGGAAAAGAAAATATCACAGTCCCGTCCACCACATAGATAATAGTAGAATTCAGCCTAGCTCTGTCCAAGCCACTCGCTGACGCGTTTCGTCCCACCCATGAGGTTTAGCAGAAACTGGGATATTTCCTTTGCCTTCACAGACTGCATGGAGTCAGGACGGGTCTATTTATAAAGTGAGGGCAAAGGAAATACCCCAATCGCCACACACCATGCAAGCCCGTCCGTCACATAGATAATAGTAGGATTCAGCCTAGCTCTGTCCAAGCCACTCTCCAACGCGTTTCGTCCCACCCATAAAGTTTATTCATGGAGGATTTCCTTTGTGACAGATGGGCTTGCATGGTGTGCAGCAACTGGGATATTTCCTTTGCCTTCACAGGCTGCATGGAGTCAGGACGGGTCTATTTATAAAGTGAGGGCAAAGGAAATATCACAGTCACCACACACCATGCAAGCCCGTCCATCACATAGATAATAGTAGCTTCAGCCAAGCTCTGTCCAAGCCACTCTCTGACGCGTTTCGTCCCACCCATGAGGTTTATTTATGGAGGATCTCATGGTGTGCAGCGACTGGGATATTTCCTTTGGCTTCACAGACTGCATGGAGTCAGGACGGACTCCTTACCAAGTCAGCACCCAAAGTGTTTGGCCATATATTAGGGAAAAAAAGGGGGGGGGATTGCTTCCCTGATGAATATGAATACTGTACACCCAAAATAAGTGGAGAGTTTTTTCATACTTTAAGTGGTTGTGCCCAGGTGTGGTGCACCTTGGGAGAATGATCCATTCATGTTCTCAATATCCCCTCCCCCAGTGACCCATCACTCAGACTATACATTGTAACTTTCTTCTCCCTGCTGTAACCCCTGTAATAACCGCAATTACCCATTTCTAGGCGGGTCTGGTGTCTCCAGAAAACCCGGAGCAGCTCCTGATTGCTCTGGAGCCGGAAGCCGCCTCCATCTACTGCAGGAAGCTCCGCCTACACCAGCTTATTGACCTCAGCAGCAAGTCCCTGTTCAACGGCGGCTTCCCCACCGACCGCACACGCAGCATTGACTCCAGCTTCAGACAAGGTGAGCCTATGGGGGTCCTGCAGCAGACAGCAGGGACAAGACCATCCAGTAATGCACAAATCTAAGTGGTCTCCATAGACCCAGTCTGTCTGGACAGTATGGTCACCTGCTGGCTGGGCAGTATCCATAGGCAGCTTAACTCTTCAATAAGATACAAAATTGCATCCAATTTTTCTTCAAAAAAATTCAAATCATATTTAAGAAGGTTGTAGGGAACACGAATGTGGAAGCATCGATTTGTAATAACAGTGATCTTCAGCAGTCTCATGTAATCTGTCCCCAGTCTGTGGGGTTGATTTACTAAAGGCAAATAGACTGTGCACTTTGAAAAGTGCAGTTGCTCCAGAACTTAGTTAATGAGGCGAAGCTTTACTATTTACTATTACAAAGAATACCCAATCAGGTGCAAGGAAAATGTAAAAAACAGTATTTTTGCTTGCACATGATTGGATGATGGAAGTCAGCAGAGCTTCTACTTGTTTACTAAGCTCTAGAGCAACTGCACTTTGCAAAGTGCACAGTCTATTTGCTATTAACAAATCAACCCCCATGTCTCCTGAAGCATTTGCCCTGTATTCAACAACTCCTTTAACATGTCTTCACTCTCGGACCTTCTCTTGCAGCACACCTGTAGTATGTCTGCAGTCTCTGACCATCTCCTGTAGTATGTCTGCAGTCTCTGACCATCTCCTGTACTATGTCTGCAGTCTCTGACCATCTCCTGTAGTATGTCTGCAGTCTCTGACCATCTCCTGTAGTATGTCTGCAGTCTCTGACCATCTCCTGTAGTATGTCTGCAGTCTCTGACCATCTCCTGTAGTATGTCTGCAGTCTCTGACCATCTCCTGTAGTATGTCTGCAGTCTCTGACCATCTCCTGCAGTATGTCTGCAGTCTCTGACCATCTCCTGTAGTATGTCTGCAGTCTCTGACCATCTCCTGTAGTATGTCTGCAGTCTCTGACCATCTCCTGTAGTATGTCTGCAGTCTCTGACCATCTCCTGTAGTATGTCTGCTGTCTTTCACCATCTCCTGTAGTATGTCTGAAATCTCTGACCATCTCCTGTGGTATATCTGCAGTCTCTGACCATCTCCTGTAGTATGTCTGCAGTCTCTGACCATCTTCTGTAGTATGTCTGCAGTCTCTGACCATCTCCTGTAGTATGTCTGCAGTCTCTGACCATCTTCTGCAGTATGTCTGCAGTCTCTGACCATCTCCTGTAGTATGTCTGCAGTCTCTGACCATCTCCTGTAGTACGTCTGCTGTCTTTCACCATCTCCTGTAGTATGTCTGAAATCTCTGACCATCTCCTGTGGTATATCTGCAGTCTCTGACCATCTCCTGTAGTAAGTCTTCAGTCTCTGACCATTTCCTGTGCTATGTCTGCAGTCCCTGACCACCTCTTGTAGTATGTCTGCAGTCTCTGACCATCTCCTGTACTATGTCTGCAGTCCCTGACCACCTCTTGTAGTATGTCTGCAGTCTCTGACCATCTCCTGTACTATGTCTGCAGTCTCTGACCATCTCCTGTAGTATGTCTGCAGTCTCTGACCATCTCCTGTAGTATGTCTGCAGTCTCTGACCATCTCCTGTAGTATGTCTGCAGTCTCTGACCATCTCCTGTAGTATGTCTGCAGTCTCTGACCATCTCCTGCAGTATGTCTGCAGTCTCTGACCATCTCCTGTAGTATGTCTGCAGTCTCTGACCATCTCCTGTAGTATGTCTGCAGTCTCTGACCATCTCCTGTAGTATGTCTGCAGTCTCTGACCATCTCCTGTAGTATGTCTGCTGTCTTTCACCATCTCCTGTAGTATGTCTGAAATCTCTGACCATCTCCTGTGGTATATCTGCAGTCTCTGACCATCTCCTGTAGTAAGTCTTCAGTCTCTGACCATTTCCTGTGCTATGTCTGCAGTCCCTGACCACCTCTTGTAGTATGTCTGCAGTCTCTGACCATCTCCTGTACTATGTCTGTAGTCTCTGACCATCTCCTGTATCATGTCTGCAATCTCTGACCATCTCCTGTAGTATGTCTGCAATCTCTGACCATCTCCTGTAGTATGTCTGCAGTTTCTGACCATCTCTTGTAGTATGTCTGCAGTCTCTGACCATCTCCTGTACTGTGTCCGCAGTCTCTGACCGTCTCCTGTATCATGACTGCAATCTCTGACCATCTCCTGTAGTATGTCTGCAGTCTCTGACCATCTCCTGTAGTATGTATGCAGTCTCTGGCCATCTCCTGTACCATGTCTGCAGTCTCTGACCATCTTCTGTACCATGTCTGCAGTCTCTGACCATCTTCTGTAGTATGTCTGCAGTCTCTGACCATCTCCTGTAGTATGTCTGCAGTCTCTGACCATCTCTTGTAGTATGTCTGCAGTCTCTGGCCATCTCTTATAGCACTCTTGTAATTTTCTGTTCTATATCTGTGGCCCTTCAGTGATGTCAGGGGTTAAACTGGGGGCCCTCAATATCAAATAGGATGACCACTGCTGTCTTAGCCCATTGTTCTTTCTTTTTTTTTTTCATGGTAAGACTCTTGGACACTATTATTAGTACTTCCTGAACAGAATATCAGCTGAATGTTCTCATTTTTATTATAATATACACTATATTGCCAAAAGTATTGTTCCCCCGCCCTCCAAATCATGTGATTCAGGTGTTCCAATCCCCTCCATGGACACAGGTGTATACAATCAAGCCCCTAGGCATGCAGACTGCTTCTACAAACATTGGTGAAAGAATGGGTCGCTCTCAGGAGCTCAGTGACTCCAAGCGTGGTCCCGTGATAGGTGGCCACCTGGGCAATAAGTCCATCCGTGACATTTCCTGGCTACTAAATATTCCAGAACGCCTGTCACCCCATCTGGTGACTCTGTCAGAGTCTGAGAACCGCTTCCTCGCCACGGGACACAGGACCAAGGTATTATAACCAGGCATTGCACCCTGGACTAGACGAAACTAGCTTAGACGCCCAAACAGGAACTCATTTATTGAACAGAAATACAGTTTTTGTATACTCCAGAAATAGGGCAGTGTCCCCACATGAACAATAAAACAAATATTATACATTAGGATAAACATCCCACACTGATTAGATAACGGGGGTGAAGCTGACATCAGTCTGATCTCTTCATGTAGGAGCCTCCAAGAGGACTTGCCAACCGACAATAGGTGGCTCAATTACCTCAATTAACAAAGGAATGTACACCTAGGGGGCACACAATGGGAGAAATACAGTAAATACATGACAGATTACACCGAGTCCTCAGCATCAGGTTTATTTTGAGCTGATTATATGAATATCTTCTTAGAGTCTCTGAGACTAGGAAGGAGGGGGGGAAGCAGTCATCGCTGGTTTGGGCACAGAGACCCCAAATCTGTATCCTGGTGCTCCACTTCTCAGAGTCCATGTATTTTGGGGAGACATGGACTTGAATCCGAACTAAACTACTCAAAAGGTCCCCCAGGCACAAAGCAAAGAATAGAGCCCCCTCAGATGCCAGAGCCATGGTCAGTAGGCAAGAGGCTAGCCTGCAGCCCCCTCCAAAAGCCAGTTGGGTCTGTCACACCATGGTCAACTGTTAGTGGGATTATAACAAAGTGGAAGCAACTGAGAACAACAGGAACTCAGCCACGAAAAAATGACAGAGTGGGGTCAGTGCATGCTGAGGCATTTGTGAAAGAATGGGTCGCCCTCAGGAGCTCAGTGACTCCAAGCGTGGTCCCGTGATAGGTGGCTACCTGTGCAATAAGTCCATCCGTGACATTTCCTGGCTACTAAATATTCCACGCTCAACTGTTAGTGGGATTATAACAAAGTGGAAGCAACTGGGAACAACAGCCACTCAGCCACCAAGTGGTAGGCCACGTCACATGACAGAGCGGGGTCAGCACATGCTGAAGCGCACAGTGCGCAGAAGACACCAACTGTCTGCAGAGTCAATAGATAAAGATCTCCAAACTTGGTGTGGCCTTCAGATGAGCACAACAACAGTGTGTAGAGAGCTTCATGGAATGGGTTTCCATGGCCGAGCAGCTGCATCCAAGCCTTACATCACCAAGTACAATGCAAAGCATCAGATGCCGTGGTGTAAAGCACGCCGCCACTGGACTCTAGAGCAGAGGGGACGTGTTCTTTGGAGTGACCAATCACGCTTCTGTGTCTGGCAATCTGAAGGACGTGTCTGGGTTTGGTGGTTGCCAGGAGAACTGTACTTGCCTGACAGCATTGTGCCAAGAGTAAAGTTTGGTGGAGGGGGAATTATGGTGTGGGGTTGTTTTTTAGGGCTTGGGCTTGGCCCCCTAGTTCCAGTGAAGGGAACTCTTAAGGCAACATTTTGGACAATTTCATGCTCCCAACTTTGTGGGAAGAGTTTGGGGATGGCTCCTTCCTGTTCCAACATGACTGCACACCAGTGCACAAAGCAAGCTCCATAAAGACATGGAGGAGCCAGTTTGGGGTGGAGGAACTTGACTGTCCTGCACAGAGTCCTGACCTCAACCCCATAGAACACCTTTGGGATGAATTAGAGCGGAGACTGCGAGCCAGGCCTCCTCCCCCGACATCAGTGCCTGACCTGACAAATGTGCTTCTGGAAGAATGGTCCAACCTTCCCATAGACACCCTCCTAAACCTTGTGGACGGCCTTCCCAGAAGAGTTGAATCTGTTATAGGTGGAAAGGGTGGGGCCAACTCAATATTGAACCCTCCGGACTAAGACTGGGGGGCCATTAAAGCCCATGTGCGTGGAAAGGCCGGCGACCCAATACTTTTGGCAATATAGTGTAACTAATATTTAAATTATATTCCTAGCTTGTAATAATACAAATTCTAAAAATGCATTTAAAAAAAAATCTTCTCCCCCCCCCTCAGCAAGAGAGCAGCTGCGGAGATCTCGGCACAGTCGGACATTCCTGGTGGAGACTGGAATGGGGGAGCTGTGGTCGGAGATGCAGGCAGGTAAGGGTTAATAAACCATTTTTGAAGATTTCAGGATTTGCATTTGAAAATACTTTTTATTTTTTTGTGTGCCCAAAAGAGAGCCAACTATCTGCTGCCATCTAATGGCCAACATTGATAGTGAACACTGTCAATGTTGGCTATTAGATGGCAGTAGATAATTCATGTTGAGGGGAAAAAAAATACATCTGAGTGAAAAAATAGGTCACCCCAGGGGTGGACTGACCATTCGAGCACTAGGGCACTGCCTGAGGGCCCGGGGTCAGTAGGGGGCCCCATGAGATGCCCTTGGTACCTTTCATTGGCTTTTTCATAGGCTTTTTTTGGGTGTGGGCGAGAACACAGGGGCCCCATGATCCCCTATTGCCCGGGGGCCCCATGAGTTGTCAGTCCGCCGTTGGGGTTACCCTTAGTATAAACTGTACAACTTTGTGAATATTGACAAAGGACTTCAGTCCTCCCCTCCTCCCCCTTTTACCTGCCATGCAGTGCAGTCCTCAATTTACATTTTCATTGGCCCAGCATATCTAGCGCTGATCTGCTGCATTGCCAGAGCCCAGGTCACGCGCCACCATCTATGGCCCCGACGTCATCGGGTTCCAGGCATCTCTGTTCAGGTTGCCGGACCTCAGAGGATGCACTGCTGGTCCAACAATGAATGGAACCTGTAGTATCCTGGGATATGTGATGTTCCTATCTGTGGAGGCTTTAGAGCACAGAAGTCAATTTCGCCTATGTGATAGTGGTGGGAGGGGGGATGGCTAACTAACTAAGTAAAGGGTAAAGCGGCAAAAAACATTTTTTTTTTTTTTCTTTTACATTTGACATTGCTCAGTGCATTATCATTCAGAAATTTCCATACAGCCTGGTCACATTTTTATTAGGTAAAATATACAGTATAATTATGTATACCCACTTGAGCTGTGAAAGGTTTTACCCAAATTCATGACCAGGACATTTTTTAGATATTCAGCACTGCGCTACTTGAACTGGTAATTGCGCAGACATGCAACACTGTACTCTGACATGGGGTGGGAACTGACTAAGAAATTACACTGATATCTTCAGTGATACTAATACAGTGATCAGTGCTAATACAATACACCAAATTTTTGAAACAACGGCTCAGTTTTATGTCCTCCAGACTTTAGGGGGGGCTGAACTGTAGCCATTTGAAGTAAAAAATGTCCCAGCGTCAGTGGGAGTAAACAATGTCCCATTGTTGGTGTCGTTGGGTGGGGAAAATCATGCCCCAATGTTGGTGTCACTGTGAAGAATGGTGCACCACCATTGGTGTCAGTGGGAGGAATAGTGCCCCATCATGGGTGTCACTTGGAAGAATGGTGTCCCACCATTGGTGTAATTGGAAGGAACTGTGCCCCATTGTTGGTGTCATTGGTAGGAATTGTGTCCCTTCATTGGTGTCATTGGGAGGAATTGTGTCCTTTCATTGGTGTCAGTTGGGGGGAATTATGCCACATTATTGGTGTCAGAGGATGAGATATTGCCCTGAGGGCGGGATAAAAGCCAGCAAAGGACCGCAGTTTGGGGACCACTGCTATACACTGTCGCTGTGCTAATGACCTGGCTAGGAAGGGGTTAACATCTAGGAGCAATCACAGAGTTGCCTGTGTGCCTAACCAGTGTTAATGTGTGTAGTATGTGCTGCTTTAACTAAGCGATGTGACTGTTTTGCAGGAAACTAAAACAGCCACATCTCTACTTCATGTACAGAGGTCTGTGTTGTCAGTAAACACAGGGCTCTGTACTGTCATTCGCTAAGCTGATTAGCAGGTCCCGGCCATAAATCAATGGCTAGGATCTGTTTATGGTGTGTGCCTGCTACCTGAAAATGCTGGTCCACGAATACACTATATTGCCAAAAGAATTGGCTCCGCCCTCCCGATCATGTGATTCAGGTGTTCCAATCCCCTCCATGGCCACAGGTGTATACAATCAAGCCCCTAGGCATGCAGACTGCTTATACAAACATTGGTGAAAGAATGGGTCGCTCTCAGGAGCTCAGTGACTCCAAGCGTGGTCCCGTGATAGGTGGCCACCTGTGCAATAAGTCCATCCATGAGATTTCCTGGCTACTAAATATTCTATGCCCAACTGTTAGTGGGATTATAACAAAGTGGAAGCAACTGGGAACAACAGCCACTCAGCCACCAAGTGGTAGGCCACGTCACATGACAGGGCGGGGTCAGCGCATGCTGAAGCGCACAGTGCGCAGAAGTCGCCAACTGTCTGCAGAGTCAATAGCTAAAGACCTCCAAACTTGGTGTGGCCTTCAGATGAGCCCAACAACAGTGCGTAGAGAGCTTCATGGAATGGGTTTCTATGGCCGAGCAGCTGCATCCAAGCCTTACATCACCAAGTGCAATGCAAAGCATCGGATGCCGTGGTGTAAACACGCCACCACTGGACTCTAGAGCAGTGGAGATGTGTTCTCTGGAGTGACCAATCACGCTTCTCTGTCTGGCAATCCGATGGACGTGTCTGGGTTTGAAAGTTGCCAGGAGAACGGTAGTTGCCTGACTGCATTGTGCCAAGTGTAAAGTCTGGTGGAGGGGGGGTTATGGTGTGGGGTTTTTTTCAGCGGTTGGGCTTGGCCCCCTAGTTCCAGTGAAGGGAACTCTTAAGGCAACATTTTGGACAATTTCATGCTCCCAACTTTGTGGGAAGAGTTTGGGGATGACCCCTTCCTGTTCCAACATGACTGCGCACCAGTGCACAAAGCAAGGTCCATAAAGACATGGAGGAGCCAGTTTGGGGTGGAGGAACTTGACTGGCCTGCACAGAATCTTGACCTCAACCCCATAGAACACCTTTGGGATGAATTAGAGCGGAGATTGCGAGCCAGGCCTCCTCCCCCGACATCAGTGCCTGACCTGACAAATGTGCTTCTGGAAGAATGGTCCAACCTTCCTATAGACACCCTCCTAAACCTTGTGGACGGCCTTCCCAGAAGAGTTGAAGCTGTTATAGCTGCAAAGGGTGGGGCCAACTCAATATTGAACCCTCCGGACTAAGACTGGGGGGCCATATTTTTTTTAAAGCCCATGTGCGTGGAAAGGGTGGGGCCAACTCAATATTGAACCCTACGGACTGAGACTGGGAGGCCATTAAAGGTCATGTGTAAGGAAAGTCAGGCGGAACAATACTTTTGCCAATATGGTGTATATGTAGGATATTAAAAAAAATGTTATATGAAAACAAGAAGAGATGCAGAGCTTAGGAGGTATAGATGTCCTCAAGAATGGAAACCACCACCTGCTCCTTCTAGGAGACAAATTAACTCTGCAGCAAAAAAAAAAAAAAGAAACTGTATCCAGAAATGAATGATCATTCCAGAGACGGAGACAGTCAGTATATTGAGAGAAGAAGGCCGGTGTGTGTATGTAGTGCAGCAGTGACTACTTACCTATTCGGATGGAAGTCTAGGCTTGTAGCTGCAGTCAGTCTTTCAAGAAAGTCCCCCTTATGGTAATCCTCTTCAGGGATTGGAAAGTAGAAAGGTATCTCCCTAGTGCAGGACTAGAGAGTCTTGTGCTACATTTGTCCAACGTCCTGGATCCTTCATCCAATGTCCTGGATCTGTCATCCAACGTCCTGGATCTGTCATCCAACAGCCTGGATCTGTCATCCAACGTCCTGGATCTGTCATCCAACAGCCTGGATCTGTCATCCAACGTCCTGGATCTGTCATCCAACAGCCTGGATCTGTCATCTAACGGCCTGGATCTGTCACCCAATGTCCTGGATCTGTCATACAATGTCCCGAATCTGTTACCAAATGTCTTGGATCTGTCATCCAATGTCCTGGATCTGTCACCCAATATCCTTTATCTGTCACCCAATGTCCTGGATCTGTCACCCAATGTCCTGGATCTGTCACCCAATGTCCTGGATCTGTCACCCAATGTCCTGGATCTGTCTCCCAATGTCCTGCATCTGTCGTCCAATGTCCTGGATCTGTCATCCAATGTCCTGGATCTGTCATCCAATGTCCTGGATCTGTCACCCAATGTCCTGGATCTGTCACCCAATGTCCTGGATCCGTCATCCAATGTCCTGGATCCATCACCCAATGTCCTGGATCTGTTACCCAATGTCCTGGATCCGTCATCCAATGTCCTGGATCCGTCATCCAATGTCCTGGATCTGTCATCCAATGTCCTGGATCCGTCATCCAATGTCCTGGATCCGTCATCCAATGTCCTGGATCTGTCATCCAGGGCGTTTTGGAGAAAGTCCATTTTCCTTCATCTGGGTTCAGTTGATAAAATGACTCCATGCAGTTTTCAGCTGTACTGTATGTAACATGTTAATTATTTTTTTTTAAATAAAACTTTTCATTATCATTACATACTTTATTTTAGTCTGAAGTGATGTCATCACTCGGTCTTTGCGCTTCTCTATGCAATGCCGGCAGATCATGGCTGGTGGGAGGGGCCAGCAGGATGCTATGCATAGCTTCCTGAAAACATCACAGCTCCTCCTCTCAAGAGCACTCAGTCCTGATGCAAACAGTGGTCTGGCTGTTGGGAGTTATGTACAAATCAGAATGAGTTGAAGGGTGGATGTCTGTCTGGAGGAGCGGGTGCTCACAGGAATGCTGTGCTTGCATGCAGACGACCCTTGGTAGTGCCTACATGAGATTCTGAGACTCAGTGATGGAAAAACCTGAAATCCAATGAATGAAAGGACCTGCCCAGGGATAGTCAGGCTGGGGAGAAAAGTATTAGATGATGTTGGACGTCCACCAGCCAGGAAATGAGGTGGAGCTCTATCTGACTTGCTGCAGCTTTTAATGCACATTGTGAGAAGCTCGCAGTGTGCAGTGACATCAGAGTAAGAAGGTTCAGGTCAGGAGAGGAGCTGGTACAGCTGATAGGATGGCCAGAACTCGGCTTTAACATTCTCCACTCCTTGGATTCCTAGTTCCTTGTACTGATGTGCACCAAATCCGGCCACAATCAAAACAAAGCGATAAC